TTGAACTATAAAGGTCACTATAAATAGATAACTAATTAATTCTAAAACCGTTAGGTTACAGAGTTCTCATTTTTGTTGTATTCATTCATATTATAGCTTCAGTTTATTTTTGTACCTTGTATCTCTTCGAATATTTTATTTTTGCATTTTTTCTTCTAAAAAGGGTTCTAGTTTGGAGGTCACCCTTATCCTAATTTGGAGACCACCTTTCACGATACACTTACAACGGTATGCCGACGCGCATACGCAGTGACGTCACATCGATGCAAATCCAATAAGTTTTTTGATGTTGGTTCGGTTGAGTGTTTTTATTTTTAATTTATCACATTGTGTATTTACTAATTTACAATTTTGTAAATACAAAAATTCTTTTGTAAGAGTTTATAGAAATGCAATTAATAAAAAAAATCAATGTAATTGGAATTTAAGAATATTTATTTCAATATAGAAAGCACTTTAACAGAATAATGTTTTAATACTTCGTAGGTACTTATTTATTTTTTTTAACGGTTTGTAAATTTTAACATTTTTATTTCCAGTTTTCTTTTATAATTTTCAAAACTAATTTGCTTATTAATTTCTCGTAATCTTATGTAGATTCTGGTACGACTAAGGCAATAAGGTGTATTTACTTCATTGCCAAGCTTGGCAACAGTACGGTCAGCTATCAATAAAAATATTTTTTCTCTTTAGAAAGTGACGTTCCATGCATTAAATTGAACTTTGTTTCCTGCACTTCTGCAGTTTTCATTAAATCATGACTCAGATTTAAAAGTCCACCTCTTGAAATACAAGTTAACCATTCATTGGATTTGTTTGTTGTGACCAACTCGCAGGTAGAGCCTAAGTATTTATATTTATTTTTAAACTTATAAGCAACATTTCTTATAAGTTTAAACTTATAAGCAACGTTTCTTTGCATTCAAACTGATGTAGCAACTGTAAATATTCGCTGTTGGACCTGGTTTCTAATACATTTATGTCGGGGTAGAAAGGCTCGATGAAAGAGTATGAAGTGCTAATTTCTTCATCAAAAAAATTAGAGTCAGTAGGTGTAAGTATTGATACATTCTTGAACATGTTTCCTGTCAAACAGTTATTTTCATCTACAATTTGTCATGACTAGATTCAAAAGGAGTCAATAAACAATGTTCACCATGTTCTTCTGTATTTCTGTTTTCAGTAAAAACAGCAGCTGAATTCTTACCGAATATGAACCATCTAAGACGATATCTAAATTCTAGAGGATGGGGATGATCATTAGTAGAATCCACAAGGAAAACAATTCCTGTAGCTGGCTGTATACCACGTATCACAAAAAAGGGGTTAGTCTTCTTAAGTGGGTATATTTATTTAAAAAACCCTTAAAAGGGCTACATCAAAAAACAAACGTTTTCGGACTAAACAGTCCATCATCAGGTTTAAAATTGCTAGGTTAAAATGATTGAGCCACCAAAATACATGGGTAAATTACATATAGTTATAAAAGATTATACATCTTGTTGTTAAAAAACTGTGATGTTCAGTATTAAATTAAATATGACTTCAGGTAACATACATTGTTGAATTGAGTTCCAGAGCCGGGGAGTAAACCTCTACGCACGGAGAACAGCTGGAAACTGTTTTAAACCTGATGATGGACTGTTTAGTCCAAAAACGTTTGTTTTTTTATGTAGCCCTTTTAAGGGTTTTTTAAATAAATATTCCCACTTAACGAAGACTAACCCCTTTTTTTGATCATTAGTAGCTCCCATGCCTCTTATATAAGAAAAAAAATTATATAAGAAAAAGTTTGGAATTTTCTTTTTCCAGATTAAAAATTCTACTATTTGTCGTTGATCATTTCTAAAAATGTTACAGAATTACTTAGATAATATTTTTTTTAAAGCCTAAATAATATCAAATAACTTACGAATATGTCACGTTTATATTCTCCTTCTCTTCCAGCTCATTGTTGCTTAAATTATTAATTGGATGCAAAATATTATCAACACTACATCACCTTCTTTTTGCCAATCTTTCAGATCTTAATTAATCCTTAACTACTTTTTACAGGAAGGTTTAAAGTTGGTACAGCATCTTCCTTCAAGTTTCTACTTCGTGACGTATAATTCAAAAGTTGTTTTTTGAAACAAATCTCAAAACACGCATTTTCAAAATGTGTGGAACAAATTGTAGCTAAAAAGGCAACATTTATTATATATACATTTAATTTATATTATTCCAAATAATATTACTATTTTTGAAATTTATATTGTCTGCTCGACGGCAAGCTATAAACAATTTTTTAGAAAGTTCATTATCTTTCGGAAATTTGAAATACGCAATGTCAGTTCCTTTTGTTTTGCGGTTATAATTTCCGCAATTTGCTACGGCACACGACGGCATTTTAAATAGGTATAATAATTTACACGCACTTTTAATCACCTATCGGATAGTTAACAATAGTTTTTTTTGCTTAATTTGATCAAACAACGTAAGCTTGAGTACCTCGGCCACGTGATGCGGAACGAAGAAAAATATCGAATTCTTCAACTCGTTATGCAGGGTAAAGTATTTGGCAGAAGAGGAGCGGGACGCCGTCGTATCTCGTGGTTGAAAAATCTCAGACAATTGTTTGGGATGACCTCAGCGGAGCTGTTTCGCAGAGCAGTCAACAAAACCATGATAGCCTTGATGATCGCCAACATTCGGACCAGATAAGGCACTGAAGAAGAAGAAGAAGAAGTTTTTTTTCAAATCCAAACATACAACAAACAACGACTTATTAGAAACCACGAAACAGATTTCAAAACACTGAAAATACTATCTCACACCATAACATACAGCAGCTAGATGCATCAAACAGCAAACATAGCATATCATTGTAAGTGTATCGTGCTACCTTTGTTCTAATATGGGAACCCCTCGCATTCTAGCTTGGAGACCCCATTTTTGTCAACACGAAATTCTAAGATGAATAGCTAACGCTTATCAGTAAATCCAAATACGGTAATCCAGAAAAAGATTATGTCAAGTCCTATTGCGACGTTGCCATATCCTCAAAAAAGTTAAACAATTGAGTACGAAATTCCAAAATTGAAATAATTTCAATTCATCATGGGGCCCCTGATGAAAAGCAGCTTTTCGACCAGTTAATGGGAAGGTGACTTTTTTCCGCGGTGTCACGGTATAGAATAATCCATATCAGCTTACTTAAAAGTAGAGTCAGCAAAAGTAAAATGGAGAGTAACGTATCCAACGATGACGATAATAAGAGCAGAAGAAGTGAAGATGAAGTTGAAGCGGAATCCTTACCGAGAAGAAGAGTGATAATAAGTTAGATAGGTTAATAGCAATGACCGAAGATGCAAAGGTGATATGAACGAAGTAAATGTAATTTATAAGAATTAAGAAGTGATCAAAAAGAATGTAAAGAGGAAATTGGAATCATTAAGAGAGTACTAGCAGTACTCTAAGAAAACTACGAAAAAATATTAAAAGAGGACGAATAAATGAGGTAGGAGCTAAAGGCCTTTGAAAAGGAACTGAAAGAATAATATTCTACCAACATGGCTCAAAATTGATACAAGTAATGCAAATGATTTGAAAAGTACAATTGCAAATAGAAGAATTTAGAATGAAATGCAACAATTTTCAGCAAGCGGCACCAATGCCTAGCTCTTGCGGATAATAAGGCCTACAATGTGGTCGCTATATAGTCTACAGATATAAATGCTCGTGGATGTTCGAGTATGTTTCATAATATGAATTTACTTCTTCTAATTTTAAGACTATGTCTTGTTTTTTCAAAGTTGTAGTCTCAAGTTGGGATTCGGATGTCCAACTTTCATGCCAGCGTTTGGGGAATCTACCGGGTAGTTGGTTTCTCGTCCTTTACAATGTTTTTCTGCCTCTTACAATGGCCTCAAAATACTTTTTGCTGCCTCTACACCTGTAGAAAATTAATTGTATTTTTTACAATAGTTTGTTTATTATTCTAATAATTATTATTATTCTCACACTCGTATCAGCTGCGCCTGTCAGTATTTCAGATTCAAAATATTCAAACCCAACTATCCTTAACGCTACTTCGTTTTTGCCTTCTCAAATAGAAGCACGTAAGTCAAACCTTTTTTTATCTTCTCAAATAGAAGCAAGTTATAGTTCTTATCACGCTTCTTAAATAGAAGCAGTTTTCAAATAACTTATTTCATTGTATAGTTAATTAACTGTATTAAATTCAGTGTCTGTGCATTTAATATGCAAGTACCTGTTATTATTTCATACAGAAGAAAAAGTTCATTTGCCAACAATTCATACAAGCCGGTCCGACAAATTACAGGGTTGCCGGATATTCAATAAACTATAAACTTTCTTGTTCTATAAATTAATATAAACAGTTGTGCGTTTAAGAACATTTTATATGAACCTTTATCTTTTATTATTATAAAAGGGAGATTTGTTGGCGATCCTGCTACTTCTATTTATTTTTGTAAATAATATAATAAAAATATTTCTATCTTAATTTTTATTTTAATTATTCTATTTTTATTTTACTACTCACTACATTATTACTAATCCGCAATTTTGAGACCTATGGGTCGCTGGTCCTTCGAGTTTTTATTTATTTTTTATCTACCAAATGTAGGAAGGTGAGACTATAATTTGTCAAATATTTAACTCTTAAATGATCGAACCAGCTTCCTGATCATTTCCCCTACAACGCCATTTTACAACGTCTTGTATGTTATACAGGGTTCTGATATCGCTGCTCTTCACTCTATCTCTAAATGTTTTGCCAGTAATTGATCTTAGCGTTTTCATTTCTGTTCTTAGTAGTTGCGCTTAGTAGTGATTGTCTGTTCGTGTTTCTGTGGCGTAGAATATGAACTAAGTTATGGAATTTCTAAGAAAGTGATTGTACTGTCACCACTTATAAATCTCATTTTTGACGTTCAACGGATTTAGGAAACATTTATATGCATTAGATAATTTGTAATGTAGAAATTATGTTTCAGATTGCTCAAACAGTGATGGACCCTCTTCTGAGGGCTGTAAACGAGCAAGCATCTCGCCTACCTCCAACAGATATGGCTGTCTACATGTTAAACTGTATGTACGAAATGTACACCTGTCTATCTCTTTACGAGTTTATGGACGACAGACTGGAACGCCTTCAAGCACAATCTGACGCACAAATTGACACTTTGACATCGGAACAAGCAGGATCGCTTGTAGCTAATTTGAATTTGGGACCTATATACACCATTTTACAAGATCAAAGCCATGGAGCATTATCAGAAGTGCCGGGTATGGAACCTAGTAATCTGAAAAATTTTCTGGTGAGTCTTAAAATTTTTCATGCCTAATAATACTATGTAACCTTTTTTTGAGAAAATATCATGCAGTTAATTAGTTTGGGAGTACAGAAAAAACCTATTGTTAAAATGAAAAAAAAAACAAAAATAATTATACATATTTAATTTAAGTAAAAATAAACGAAACATTTATAGTGTGATGTGCGAAATTAATGATTTTTAGCTAGAGCTACCGCACTTCCCCAGCGACGAAACGACCTAAAGCTCTTCATTCATTCAACTATGTTTCTCACATATCTATACAAAAAGTAGTATTTATTGTAGATGATGTTTGGTTTTGATCGACTGTGAGCTAACGCGGTGCTCACTTCTAACACAGTTTTCTCATCGACAGATGTTCATGCAAAATATTAAATACACTTCCTCCCATATATTTAACTCCTTCTGGTTGATTTCTGCAAAACTGGTTTTGTGAACTTTTTTGAACTTTTTCTTGACAACTGTCGAATTTGGAAACCAGATTGTTCATCATTACTTATGACTGTACAATCGGACTTAAAGTTAGCCATTCTATCTCTTACCCGTGCTTCCAGAGATGGATCAAGGACCGAATAACATTGATTTGTTTAAATAGTACTTTTTCCCATTAGAAAACAATGTTTTCCACACAAAGTACATTTGAAATCACTGTCGTTTGTAAACTAGCTGCTTGACTAAGCCCAAATTTTGACATTACTTTTCAAGGTTCTTATTTTCGCTAAACCAAATGGATTTGTGTGGTGCCACCAATATATCAGTATTGAGACATATGGAGTGAATATTGTGCGATGGAAGTGGCCATCTTAACTTGACCTTTTATAACATAATTAAAGTCTTACTCAATAAATGATAGAACAAGTGACCTCGTATGAGGTTAAATTAGGATTCATAAAAAAACTTTCATCGCCACATCATGATATTGGTGTTATATTGTAAACAATTTCGCTAGAGATGCAATATCTTTCAAAAAATTATTAATATCTTATTTATTTGCAGGATAAAATGGATTATCTCGGAACCCATCCCGATACAGCTCTATTACCTCAGGTACATTTGTTGACGTCGTCCAAGCACAAAAAGTCTGTACAGAAACGATCGTTTGACGTTATCTTGGCAATATATAAACAGTTGTACCAAGCTGTTTTGGATCCAGTGAATAAATACGAAAATCCGCAATCGATATTCCACAAAAGTCCAGAAGAGCTAGAAAGTGTTTTATTATAGAGATGTTTTTGTAATATTTTTATTGATTGTTAAAATAAACATACCATAAAAATCTAGTATTTTATTATTTTGTAATTATAGAAAGAACTTACAGAACATGAACTCCCTTTTGGTTACTTTTGTAAGATATATAACGATCAGTGATACTACAGCCCTAGTTGAGCCTCTACCTTCACCGGTCTATTTCGATAACTTTTCTCAGTTTAGTCTCGCTCAATAATCCTTTACGCTTAAATGTTTGCCGAGGATTTATTTTAAAAGAAATCCTTTTTCAATTTAAGGTAGTAAATGTTACAGTGTTATAAATGTTACAAATATATTAGTTCCCACCTCTACACATCGTTATGTTCTGTAAAAAGCGGAATGTTGATTACCAGAGTCAGGATAATATGCAAAAGTGCATTTACATATTTTTGTATTTTATTTTAATTTTGTATATACTGGGCATTTAAAAAAATTGCATATGTTTACAAAACGAATTGATTTATTGATTCATGGCTCAAATACCTCCATACCTTGATCCCATTCGTTTAGTACTTTTCTCATTATATATTCAGAATATATGTTGTATAATAATGGTGATGATATGCAACCCTGTCTGGTTCCTTTCTTTGTTTTGAACGCAACTGAATATATTCCGCGTATTTTAACTTGGGCTAGCCAATTGCTTTTATGAGTCTCCGCTGGTATGCCATCGATCCCTGCCAATTTTTTGTTTCTAGTTGGTTGAGAGCCTTCTCTACTTCTGCTTGTACGATTATTGGTTTTGCCCCAATGATTGCATGTTTCTTGTCTTTTGAGACTGACTTTTAAAGCATGTTTGTACAGTTCTGAGCATTAATTTGTCCATATCTCTGTAATCTCTCTATGTCTGTTTTTTACTTCTCCATTATGGTCTTGAACTCTTTGAAGCCAAATATTTAACTTTTTTAAACAGTTCATGATTTTCATGGCGGACTGCATGTTGCTCCAGTTCTTGACACACGTTATTTGTATGGTTGTTTTTATCGCTGGTGCACATACCTTTTATTCTCCTGTTCAGTTCCGCTATTTCTTGAGTGTGGCTTGCATGGAAGAAGCAAGAAGTACGTCGTACAAAGAAATGCATTTATTTGACCTCGAAAGTAGCTGCCCAACAGCGGAAATTAGGTCTAAGTCAAGTCATTCATCTCACATTGATAAAATCATTGGGGACGTTATTAACAGCTTACAATGGGGCAGCGATTCTTCTTCAGACGAGATACTTGGAAGATTGAGTTCAAGCAATTTACAGTGAAGTGTAATCACAAATGTCAGTTTTAAAACATTCCCGCTTCTTGCCAATAATTTAGAAATAAACTGATAGTACGGAAAATTTTCTAGAGAAAAAATCAATAGTTTTTTTACCTATTTGTGGATGAAAGTCGTCTTACTATGATGGTTAACAAGAACGAATAGATATGCTTCTCAAACAATTCAGAAAGCCCTTTTATCTAAAGCTCGAATAAGAAAATTTAAAGATACGAATATAGATGAAATAAAACTATTTTTGGGATTACAGATTTGGAATGAACTTGTTCGAATGCCCAAACTATCGTCTTATTGGTCCACCAATGTCATACAGTTCAACGAAATAAAACAAGTCATATCAAGAAGCAGATTTGAACTTCTGAATAATTGGCATTTTACTGAATGAAAATGCAGATTTTCTACAAGACTGTCTTCTTCATCGTCTTTTTATATAGATATAATTCTGTCAATGTGCCTCCAGTAAGTTGTCGTTCCATCGTTTTCGTGGTCTTCCTATTGGGGAACCGTCTCTTGCCGTCTTTACTACACTATTCCCCATTCTACTCTTCTATTTCTTACCCAGTTCTTGATGTTCTCTACCTTGTATCTACGTCGTATATCTGTACTTCTAGTTCTGTCCCATACTGTCTTACCATCAATTTTTGTGTTTCATCAAGTATTTTTATCTCTGCTGTCTCTAACATCATTTTTGTCCTCTCTGTATCAGGTCTTGTTTCTGCCGCGTATGGCATTATTGGTCTGATGACTGTTTTGTAAATTCATGTCTTTCGTTTCTTTCCCGATATTTTTATTTCTCCATATTGTTTCATTTAGGCAGCCTGCGGCTCTGTTTGCTCTATTCACTTAATCTTCCACTTCGGTTTCGAGCTTTCCGTAACTAGATAATGTGATGTCTAGATATTTAAACTCCATCACTTGTTCTATTATCGGACCTTGCAGCTCCAATTTACATCTAGTAAATTTGTTGTTGTAACCATGCATTTTGTCTTTTTTGCGGAAATTACCATGTTATATTTTCTGGTGGTTATATTAAATTAGTGCAGCATACATTTTAAATCATCTGCACTTTGAGAGAGTAGTATTGCGTCGTCTGCATAGCAGATTATTTTAAGTTTTTTTTCTCTCATTTGGTATCTTTTTTTAGTTCTCACTTTTATATTATTTCATCCATAATCAGGTTGAACAATAGAGGACTAAAGGAATCTCCCTGTCTTAGCCCATTGCCAGCTTCAAGAAGGTCGGTTAGTTCTTTTTCTACTTTTACTTTTATTGTGTTGTTTTGGTAGATATTTTCGATCGTTTTGATGTTTCCTTGAGGTATCTCCCTTGCGTACAGTAAGTGGATAACGTCTTTTAATTTGACCCGGTCAAATGCCTTTGTAAGGTCCACGAAACATAGATATGCCGGTTTGTTGTATTCTAATGATTTCTCTTGCACTTGCCTCGATATAAATATAACGTTGGTGCATGATACTTCCGGCCTAAAACCCTGTTGTTCTGTTGGTGTAATCATTTCACTCAATTTATTTCTTATTACTTTGGTTGACAATTAACAATTAATTTGGTAGTTAACAACCACAAGACTGTATAAGATAAAACCGATCATATATCAAATGAGAAAAAAATTTCAAAACGCTATAAAGCCGTCTGGTAACATTCGTATAGACGAAACTTTAGTCCTCTTTCGTGGTCGGCTATCTTTCCTACAATTTATCAAGAATAATACACGGTATAACTTTGCGTAAAGGTAATGGATTTTGAAAAGAGCTGTGACCTTGTAAATAACAGGTAAAATTGTGTACTGCACCCACATGACTCATAGCTCTTGTTAAAATCCATTACCTCTAAAATTTGGTTTGTGGGCTTTTTGACTTCGATCGTACTTTGTATAGACAACTATTAATTTATTATTGAACTAGAGCATAAATTATTAGAAAGACAAACACGCCTTGCCAAAAAATCGAAAGCACAATCAAAAATATATTAAAAAAAAATCTAAAAAAGGGAGAGGTAATGAAGCAGAAAGTGACTAGGGATTTTTTCAAAAAAAAACATACGAAAATAATGCTACCAGCAAAGAGGAAATAGCAAAATATTTAATGCAAATAAAACCAAAGGAAAGTCTGGGTAAAGGCATGTTATGAAATAAGTACAAACCAAAAATCGTCGTATACGCTTATTTTGCTATAAGTTGTCCAGAGTTCCACAGAAAGTACAATACTTCTAAAACAACGCCTAATAGATGGAAATGTGTTCAATGTGATAAATTTTACTGTGCACTTGTACTCTATAGGTGTTTTGTATACAATGCAATACTACTTTCTATACAAATACTTCTTACTTCTTTCGGTATCATATTTATATTATTGTCCTTGTGGACAGTTTCTTATATTGTTGAAGAAACAAAGCGTTTCGTAAAATTAATGTGTGTATTACCTTTTATTTACCATACTACCTAGTCTCGTTTATTCTTGTAAAAACAAAAATCAACAACCAAAGTGTTAGGTAACATTATCGAGTACGTTTAATTTCTTACAGGGCCGCGCTAATCTGTAATACTTGTTGACGGTGCCACTAACTTCAATTCAAACTCCCATAAACACAGTATAACAATCAATTCAAATCAATAGTGAATCGCGTGACTCCGTAAGTAAAATAAGCGTGGATCGTATGATTCGCGCGGTGTTCAACATGTTAATAATAAACGTAGTAATTTTGTATTTCTCGTTTAGAACTTCATATTTTGTAAGTCTACCTCTATACAATATAAGAATGGTAGAAAACACACCTTGGGTAAAATACACCTTGAGAAACATAATGAAATCTACAAGATACAAACAATACCAAGACAAACTTTTATACCTGCTCTTTCTTCCTTACTTCACGTGCTGTTTATTTCGATCCTACATCAAAATTCCACAGATGTTGTTTTTCTGACCGAAAAATAATAAACAAAAATTGAGTAAAAAAATTATTTTTATTGGGGAGACAACAATCTATCTAGTAATTATACTTATATTTTATTTATAAATAAAATAACATCACATGTAAAATAGCAATAAAACAATAATTATATATATATACAGAATACGATAGTCTGTAGCAAATTTTGAGAACCTAACTATTTGAACAACAACTCTTATTAGTATTTGGTACCTGAAACAAAAAAAAACATGTTCAAATAGAAACATTGGCATACGAAATTTTAGTGTAACGTAATATCGTCATTTTTGAGGTAATGTTGATTCTAAACAGATTTTACTGTTACTGTTTATTAAATAAGAAGAAATAAAATATAAGTGGTATAGCTGGGATCGCAAACTTTATCGATACGTCTTTAATAAAACAAGGATAAAGTATGGAACCAAGTAAATATCTTTGAAAGCAAGTACATCATGCACACACGACGCATCGAATTCCACATTTTTAAAGCAAAGCTTCTATACTGGCGTTGCATTAGTTTTTCTCTATAGTAAAATGTTGAGGCGAGCGTTACGGAATTAGCGCCACAAATTAGGTCGTCACGGGTAGTGTCATAGAATAGCAGTTCTTGACATCATTCACTAGTCTCTAACACGTCGTTTCTAGTCATTACATATTTAGTCTAAGCACGTTTAAATTAAAAACTGCATGAAAAATTACTAACAAAATTTAGACATTAAATGAGAATTAAAAAATTAAAATAATATCCGTCACTAAAAGATTCGATTCGTAACGATTGTCAAAATTTAATAAAAGTCATAAATGTCATTCAATTAATAACAAAATTAAATCATCTGTTTACATTTTTATAATAATTCTAGTTTTACAATAATTTCATATAAATAAAATTATTATTTTTATGCATATTATTTAGTTCATATAATAATTAAATTTACTATCTAATGATATTTATTTATATTTTATTATTAATATTTCATCTGAATTTGACAGGTTTATTAAAATAAATAAATAATGAAATTATTTTATTTAATTTTAAATATATTATTTAAATTTTAAAAAGACAGAAAACATAGAATGAAGCTCCGCGCTAGTCTACAGTACCGCCTACTGTTCCACTTTTTTTGTTACCACTTACTTCCGGTTTCTGGAAAGAGAACTTCCGTAAACGATGACGTAGAGAAGAGGTAGGGGTACTTTGCTTATTACGATGGAATACGACAGGAGGAAGGGATGCATGAGTGCACATCCAACGTCGCTCTGGTATATTTAAATTTGTTACTTTTGTCTATAAATATAATTTTTTACTAGTTTCTTCCAGAGGCGTCACTCTGGTATATTTAAATTTGTTACTATTTTCTATAAATATAATTTTTTACTAGTTTCTTCCAGAGGGCAGCATTACTCACAGTATCAGATAATTATATAAAAACGTAAAGTTTCAATAATGTATAATATATTATATAATATACTAATATAAATGAAATTGAGAAGAAATGAAAACAAAACGTTCTATTATTTTTATTATTCGATTAAATGTTCTATTAATATTTTTCTATTATATAAATTATTTTTAAGAGAATTATTATTCTTAATTACTCTTATTATGATACATTTGTAAATAATGTTTTATAATCAATTTTTAAAAATCCAGAAATAACATTGAATCTTTTAAAAAATTGCGACCCCCTTTTCAGTAATTTTTTAAAAGCGACGTCGACATGAGAGAGGGCTTCGACTGTAAACGACGCTTTGCCGTGGGAATACGTGCTGGGGGAGGAAGGTGATGTATAGGGATGACTGGAGAGAAATTCTTGAGGAGGCTAGGGCCCACGCAGCGTTGTAAAGCCGCAATGATGATGATGATATGTTTTGTTATTGGATGTAACGGTACTGTTCCATGCCAATGGCCACATTGTCAAGGCACTACATCATCATCAGCCGTTTTGAGTCCACTGCTGGACATAGGCCTCCCGTAAATAATTAAAATGCATTTTATCTGGAGCACCCTGAATCCAGTTGTGCTGAATGCGCTTGATGTCATCTGACCACCTTGTTGGAAGACGTCCTCGATTACGATACGCATCGTGTCTAGGTCTCCATTCCAGAATTTTCTTCGTTCACCTTCCATCTTTTAATCTGGCAACATGCCCCGCCCAGTTCCATTTCAATGTTGTAATCCTTTGAACTGCGTCAGTAACACCAGTTTTCTCCTAATTATTGTTGACTCTGTCTCTGAGGGATATATTCAGCATTGACCTCTCCATCGCCTTGTGTGCCACTTGTATTTTATTGATTACTTTTCTGGTAAGGGTCAATGTTTCTGCTTCATACGTTAGAACTGGGAGTACACATTGATCAAAGACCTTCCTTTTCAAGCACATGGGAATATCTGATCTAAAGACTTCTCTCAGTTTTCCGTAAGCCGCCCATGCCAGTCCTATTCTCCTGTTTAGCTCCGTTGTTTGATTATCTCTTCTAATTTAATCTCGTGGCCCAGATATTTATAGCTATACACCTGTTTAATTTGCGTGCCGTTAGTTGAGATGTTTTTCGCCAGTACAAGGTTGGTCATATATTGTGTTTTGGAGAAATTAATTTTAAGTCCAACTCGTGTACACGAGCTCTGAAGGTCTTGAAGAAGCTGGCAGGCATGATCTATCCGTTCTGCAATAACGACTATGTCGTCTGCAAATCTCAAGTTGTTCAGAAATTCTTCATTTATGTTTACTCCAATATTCTCCCAATTATTGTTTCTCATAGCACTCTGCAACAAAGCGGTGAATAGTTTAGGAGAGATGGTATCTCCTTGCCTAATACCCCTCTCGAAGGGAAAGGTATTTGTGTTGCCATAATACATTCTAACTGCAGCTGTTGCGCTATAATATATATTCTGAAGAAGAGTTGTGTACCTATGATCAATATGCACTCTGTAAGGGCTCTTAACATGGAGCTATGCTGGACTGAGTCAAACGCTTTCTTAAAGTCTACAAATATTAATATCAATGGCTTGTTGTATTCTGTAACTTGCTCTATTAAGGATTTTATTACTTGTAGGTGGTCATTCGTTCCAAAGCCACTCCTAAATCCGGCCTGCTCTAATGGTTGGTGAAAATCCAGCTTAGGTTCCAGTCTGTTAGTAATTATTCCCAAAAAGAGCTTATATAAATAAGATAACAAGCTGATAAGTCTGTAGTTTCCAATTTCTGTTACATCTCCTTTTTTGTGCAATATTATCATAATGGCACTATTCCATTTTTCTGGTGTAACTCCTTCAAAGAGGCAGGCACTATAAAGGGTTTTTAAAGCCTTTATGACGCATTTGCCTCCTAATTTTAGCATTTCACTTACAATGCAGTCTTCTCCAGGTGATTTGCTGTTCTTCATACCTTTCAACACTGATTGGATTTCCTCTTCGGTTATATCTGGAAGTTCCTCTGATCCTTGATTTTGTTTGGCTGGAATTTCCACCTCTGGAATGTGAGCATCTCGACGATATAATGTTCTATAGTAGTACTCTTCGATAATTTTTATAATTTATTGTTATTCATATACAGCATGCCCTTGTTTATTTTTTAGTTTATAAATGTTCCTGGTTCCTGTCTTCAACTTTCGTTTTAGAACTTTAAGGCTTTTATTTTGTTCTGTGGTATTAGTTGTTTCTTTAGTGTTAAAATCCCTTATGTCTTTCCGAACAGCTTTTGAAATGGTTTTATTGAAATTCCTCAGCTCTACGATGATCACTGTGTGCTTATTTTTCATTTCCCTTCTTTTTTGCATTAGGTTCCTTGTGTTTTCTGTAAGTTTTTCATTTTTCCTTGTTCGCTTAACTCGACAGTTCTTCTGTGCCTTCCTTAGAGCGTCCACCAACCTTTCGTTAAGTTGTTCAATATCGGTTTCATCTTGCACATCATTCTGAAGGTTTCTATCCATTTCTTCCTGGTATGCCCTTGTGTTAGTAACCGCAGTGAACGTAACATTTTTAGTCCTTGTTACCATATTTCTTCGTTCCTTCTTTACGTTCAAGACTACCTTCTCTCTAACCATTCTATGGTCACTTCCGGTTGAAAATTGATTTAATACAGTTACGTCTTGAACAGCGTCTTTTTTGTTAGTAAAGATAAAGTCAATTTCGTTCTTGTTCAAGCCATTTGGTGATTGTCAAGTCCACTTTCTTTCGGGGCTTTTTTTTTAAATGGGTGTTCATGACATAATATAATCTGTGTTGCAGAAGAAATTCTATAAGAGTTTGACCCTTTTCGTTTCTGTGGCCATATCCGTGAGGTTCAAGTACAAACTCCGAATCATCCTGCTTGTGGCCTATTTTTGCGTTTAGGTCTCCCATCAGTATGGTATAGTTGGTGGTTACCCCTTCTAGAGCAGTGTTAACGTCATCGTAGAACCATTCAACTTCTTCGTCTGTGTGGGCACTGGTAGGTGCGTATACCTGGATGATCTTTAATCGAATTTTTTCGTTTACTTTGTAGATAAGATAAATAACTCTATCACTTATGCTTTTAATTGTAAGTATATTCTTCGTATGTTTTTTATTTATCATAAATCCGACGCCACCATTAGAAGATTCACCTCTATAGGGAAATAGATTTCCTGACGAAAGTATCATTTGTTCTTCGCCTTTTCGCCGTACTTCAGATAATCCAAGTATATCCCATTTTATGAGATATACTTGGATTCTTCAGCTTCAGCTCGTTTTCAAGTTCCTCGTCAGGTTTTTCGTCCCCCATCAATGTTCTGGTGTTATATGTTGCCATAAACCATATTCTTTGCCGTTATCGTTTGTAAAGGTAGCCTGGTCCACTCTGGAGATTCTTAGCACCCTCTGTCCCTCTACCTTCGTGACTGCTACCATGTCAAGATACTACATTTAAATAAAAAACACTATTTTCTTTAATCTACAATGGCCTGACTTAATGACTTACGATATAAAGAAAATATGTACAATTTACCTGTTCATCATCCACCACTTGCACGACCCTTTGAGAATTTTTTCGCGTTAAATTAATCTCTTGAGCTGCTTTCAGTTTCGCTTCTTCTAGCATCTTTTGAGTGAGCGCCAGGAACATTTCTTCGACGCCTTCGTTCAACTTTGCAGACGTTTGAAAATGCATCGCCTTCACCTTTTCAGCATACCTAAAAATATACAAAAAATTTTTGTAGGTAAAAAGTTCGATTCTGTAAGATCTTCTGGAATTCAAGTGATCGATGCAAAACTGTGCAGCAAGAATAAATTGATGATATTTTTACGATAAATATGACTCATAACTGTAAACATATTATTTCTAATTATAGTCTATTCTAAGTATTTTCTGGAACTTCTCCGCTCCACTAAAAACCTGTCTGGCATGACCTTCCAGTCTATTCCAGAGGGTCGCCAGGATTCCAGATTAACGGTATTTTATATATAAAGACGAACTTTTATTGTAAACAGTTAGTTTTTAGTCTGAATATAATGTATCAAGTTTGAATTATTGTCGGGGAATATAAATTGTAATAAATGTAAATAAATTATATAATTATAGTGTAAAAATAAATTAGTGTAATATTGTATAAACAAAGACTTTAATAAACTTGTAAGTGTTGTAAAAGTGTAAAACCTTTTACAGTAAATAAATTAGACTTATAAATATAGTACAATATTCTAAACGTATGGACAAACAAGACAATTAAGAAGAACGCGAATGATTTTGCTTAGAGTGACTGCAAAAACTGCCATATCGTCTGCGTATCTTAAATTATTTACACGTTCCTCGTTACCAAGTTTTTTTTTTATTTAAAAGACAATTAGTTTCTATCAAATCGAGTTTCACAAAGTTCTTCTGAAGATTAGGAAACCAAGAAATACGCATAAAAGAATGGTTCAATCGTCGGTTGTCTCCTTTGGTTGAATCATTACATTTTGAATTATTTTCTGGTAGCAGTAATATACATGAAAAAGAAAATAAAATAGAAACGTAAAGAAAGGCAAAGCAAGTCTGAACAAATTGTGTTCAAAATTGCAGCCTAACCACACTTATATATCGATATAACTAATAATTGTTGCCTTTTGGTTAATTTGATACATACAGCAGCATACCCACAGAGCATATTTTGTCATGATTAAAAAATTAAGTTGATTACTACATTGTCAGAATTTCAGAGAGAATGATTCTCTATCTTGATGCCACCAAATATGTAGGTAGCTTCGTTTCGTCGTTTTCAATAATTTTTATCTGTTTGTCCTTGTGTCGTGTTGTGGCAATGTATCTTTTAATGTTTTATATATATATATATATATATATATATATTGTTGGATATGTATTGTAATTAGACGAAATGCCCCTGAAGATCCTCTAGGAGCGAAAGTACTTGGGCAAGATTTAATAATAAAAACTGTGCTCGATATCTGCCTTTTATTTGATTAAAATTCTTTTTTTATTTTATTTTATTACTCCACAATAGTCAATGTAACTGTCAAGTAGCTAATATTGCTTTACCAATCCTGGAATGTATTTGTTCGTTATTCCCTGGTTTCCCCAAGGTTTCAGTTGATTTTTAAGTTCCCATTTTAATTTGGTGTACTTCCCTTTCAGTTTTCTAAGCATATAGTCTATATCATTCTAATCTTCAGCTAGAATGGCTTGGTCGTCAGCGAAGTGTATCGTGTACAATCACTAGTCTTCAATAGATCTATTTTGAAGAGTATATGTGCTATGCAGCAACCTTGCTTTAGACCCTAGCTAATAGGAATTTGTCTAGTTTCCAGTTTTAATGTTCACCGTCATATTTTTGAAAAGCAATTGTACTATTATATTTTTTTGTTCATTCCTTGTTTTTCCTTTGCTGCCCAGAACATTCAAAGTGATAGACTATCTATCGTATGCTTTTGTCAGATCTACACAGACTATATGGGTTGAAAGGTTCTGTGCAAATCTTTTCTTATTAACCTGCTTTAGAGAAAATATGCTGTCTCTACAGGATCTAACTACACGAAAGTAATTTTGTTCTTCTACATCTGTCATCTCGTTTTAAATTTTAGTTATTATTTTTCCATAGAGTCGTTATAGTGAATTTATGACACTTAGCCCTCTGTAGTTTGAAAATTGTTTCAGTTTCCTTTTTTGTAGATATTGTTAGCTGTTGTCCACTCCAGTGGCCATATTCTTAACAGAATAAGTTAAAAACATATGTTAGTAATTCCCGAATAGCGACAACGAATATTTTACTGTGCAAGTAGAAGTATGAAAGTAAATTGGTCTAATCATTATTTCAATAAAAAGGATCTACTGTTAATATGACATCTAAACTAAAATTATTTCAGTTAATAGATCATCAAATGTGTTCATCAGACATTTTGGGTTGGGTTTCGGTGAAATGTAAACACCAAAGAGGCGTGCCGGGTTTCTTTGATATTACACTATTTTATTACTTTATTAGGTAATACAACTGCAATAAAAAGAAATATACTATTTTTAATATAAATGAAAAGAAATTAGCAGAACCATGGTTTAGAAACCAGAAAAAGAATCCAATATTTCACTTTGTTAGATTTAAATATTTGTTTGCTTTGAGTGGATATACTCTTGAAAGTTCCAAAAGTAACGGGTATAACATACCGGCCATTTATAGTTAAAGTACTGAGTCGTTACAGATATTAAAAAGTAACGAAAATTTACAGTTTCATATATCGTCGACTGATTTTAGTTTTAAAAACCGTCCATATAGAGGTGTCCGGTGAAGAGAGGTGTCCGTTAAGAGAGAGTTTAGTGTAGTGTATTTGTTTATTGCAGCCAAAAATGCCGAGACGTGTTTTAGATGTAGACTTTATATTTAACGCGACCTTTGCGACCAGTTCAGTCCGTACATAAACGTGTGTGTGATGCACTCTGTATTAGTGAAACAAAACTAAAGCCGGTTTTGCAAAAAGCAAAAAAAAAGTGGACAAAGTGAACAAAATGTCGCACAATATAAATCTCACCGACAAACAAAGACTATAGATCTTCCTGAAGGTTGCAAATTTGAAATCCGTGAGACAATATATAAAATGCGCGAAAAGAAAGAACATGTTTCTTTAGATTCAGTGCTACAAAAATTAAAAGACAGAAATATATTTGAAATTTCCAGAACAACTCTCTGGAGAGTTTTAAGACAGACTGGCTTTAAGTTAAAAAAGAAAGGCAATAGAAAGGGTGTGTGAAAGAGCTAGTGTCGTTCACAACAAATTTAAAAAATATGTTTTTCCTTCGTTTATTTAGACGAAACATGGATTTTTGCTAAAGACGGTATTATGTCAAGACGAGAGTATAAAATCCATAAAACACATCGATAACGAGGAAAGAGATATATTATAGTGCATGCAGGTGGAAAACATGGTTTTATTGATGGAGCAGATCTTGTGTTTTCATCAAAATCAGCCGATTATCATAACAATATGAATACGGAGATGTTTGTGAAATGGTTGAAAGAAAAAATGTTGCCAAGTTTACACGAACCACCGTTTGTAGTACTGGATAATGCTGCGTACCATTCGGAAATTTTAAATAAGCAACCAACAAACACCTGGACCGTAGATAAAATAAAAGAATGTTTAACGAATTAAAATGTTACATTTCCTCAATACTGTTTTAAACCTCAATTACTAACGTTGAAAAAGCAAAAAATCATGCACAACATATGTAGTAGACGAAATTATACATAGCTTTGGACATCGTGTGTTAAGACTACCGCCCTATCATTGCAAATTCAATATAATTGAATATATTTGGGGGATATGCAAAACATATTATGATAACCATATTGGATACAAGGGTTACAGTGATGAGGCAGTCTTGGAAACATGGCAACAAGCATTGGATATTGCCACTCCTGAAATTTTGGAAAAAAAGTGTGAAAAAAAGTGTAAAAAAATGTAAAGACTTAATTGAAGAATGGTGGATCAGATCGAAGCAGTTAATCCTGTTATAATTTACCATCCGAATTATGATAGCGATGACAGTGATTATGGCTGCGAATCCGATGGTTGATGATAGTTTTATGAGATTAGTAGAATAAGTAAGTTTTTTTGTTTTTTTAACTTAAATCACTTAATTCAAAAACTAAACTTATTTACAGTACTAAACTCAATGATAGTATTTATATCAAAATCTGAATTTAACCGTTCTTTAAACTATCAACTCTATATTTATATCATGACTTCATATTTAAATCTAAGGTTTATATCTGTCATAACAGTATTTTAAAAATAGGGAGAATTTACTATTGTACAATTCAGCACATTGGACCATTTAAATCGATACCTTAAACCGAATTTAAAAGAGTCGTATATTCGTGGAAGGGAGTATACCTTCTGATACGCATGCTTTTCTGCATATGTACTGCATCTTCGTCTTCCTTTACAACTTATTGGCAGTAAAACCGGTGGTATACAACGACAGAATTTACCAAGGAAGAGCAAAAAAGAAAGACCTAACAAGAGATAGATGGATCATATTATATAAAAAAGAAAATCATGAGTCAGAAAGAGAAAAAGAAAATATATATCAACAGCAAGGAGTTGCTAAAAGAAGATGCGTTTTTATTTTAAATATTATATGTATTATATAAATGTTGATTCGTTAACTAATATACTTAATTCATCATCATCAATCAGCCAATCGCGTCCACTGCTGGACATAGGCCTCCCTCAATTCTTTCCAGTGTTCTCTACACTGGGCCGCTTGTAGCCAGTTTCCCGCTACACGTTTAATGTCATCGGTCCATCTAGTCGGTGGTCGTCCTCGGCTTCTTTTATAATTTCTGGGCCTCCATTCCATAATACGTCTTGTCCACCGTCCATCTTGTGTTCTGGCTAAGTGCCCTGCCCAGTTCCACTTAAGCGTCGTGGTTCTTTCGATGACGTCTTGAACTCCTGATCTTCGTCTGATTTGTTGGTTTGTTATGTGGTCTCGAAGGCTCACGTTCAGCATTGCACGTTCCATGGCTCGTTGTGTAACTCTAAGTTTATTCGCAGATTTTTGCGTGAGTGTTAAAGTCTCTGCTCCATAAGTTTGTACAGGTAAAACACATTGGTTATAAACCTTTCGCTTGAGACACATGGGAATTGAACTTTTTAGAATATGGCTTAATTTGCCAAATGCTGCCCATGTTAGACCTAT